ATGAGATACAGTACTTGAAGCAGCTGATGGGTGCGGGACTCTCTATAATCTAACAGCTCCCCTTGATAAAACAAAATGCAAGGCCTTCCAAGGTTTTTAGTAGGGAATCGCAGAAGGAGAAATCTTTGGGTAGAAAAGAAGGGCTTTCTGAGAGCCCACAGATATTTTTTTTCTGTCGGTTTTTCAATATGTAGGCCCCGGGGGTATGCTGCTCCCCACTTTGGGATTTCAGCTCAACTATAGGCCGCAATCAAAGTTATTTCCTATTGCTCTTACAGTGCAACTAGAAGATCCTTGAAAAAGAAATGTATGAAAACCAAGGAAGAAAACAAAAACATAAGGAACAAAATATACAATATTCTAGTCAGGCTACATGTACAGTTTTCTGATCCTGCAGTAACCAACTCGCTCGCTGATGCATGGACCTGGGTCATTCCATGTTCTTTCTGAATGATCTTCGCTATTATGTCGTCTCACTATTACTTAGGAGCTTATCTAATCTATCCTGTTCTGTTTCTGGACAAACATCCTTCCTTTTAAAGTCCCAACCTTCTCATGAATTCGTGCTGCCAAGGGTCTTAGTTATAATATCTGGTCTGAAAGCTAAGTTGCATCCCTTCCTAACTCATTGCCATAAGACTCAGGCTATTTTATTACAAGGCATTATGACAGTTCTTCCCCCATGCACCCATTCCATTTCCAGGTTATTTAAAGAATAAAACTTATGTGCCCCAACTATGGAAATATGTGAAATACACAAACAAACACAAACTTTTAGAGGGTTTAAAACAACCTCTCGTAGAAGGGGCAGCTTACCTAAGTTTGCAGGGGAACATTGTATGCATGCCTGCACTGATTCACTCACTGCTTCCTTACTACTTTAGAACATTTTGTCTTTACTTATGCCCTGGCTCAAAGTTCCCTTAAAGTTCTTACTTAATGATGAAGTTTTATGTCTTGTCCCTAATACTCTGCACAAAGCTAGATGCCCCCACTTTAATATTCTGAGAAGGGTTTCATCTTTTGCTTGGTTTGGGGGCTCTGCTCTCTGACCTCAACCATCTTCTTCCCTGGCCAGACGTCTCTGAGCTGCCTCTTTTGTCACGGTGGGCTTCTTTGCCTTGCTGTGCCACGGAGAAGATGTTTAAGCCTTGCAAAGAATTGACGGCTTGAAGTTTTCATTAAAAATACATCCTCTTCAGACAGGAATACAGACACCACGGTACATTCTCTGTAATAACATTAGATACATCCCCCCTTTGCATTAACTGTCATATATGCCGTATACAAGTTATTTGATTCATTTCTGAAACCAATCCTACAGTGAAGTTTCCAATTATATAATAAAGGATGCAAGCTCTGCTTTCCTCCAAAGGTCAGGCTAATATCATTTTAATTTGACACCAGGTTTATTTACTAATCTCCCCCAATAAAATTGATACACGGTTTGACACACTTTCAATGTCAAAAAGCAAAAAATACTGCTTTTTCTCTTTGGTCCCAACACCCTTTCCAGTAGACAACTTTTTTTTTTTTTTTTTTTTTTTTTTTTTTTTTTTT